GAAGGAAGGAAGGAAGGAAGGAAGGAAGGAAGGAAGGAAGGAAGGAAATATTAAAGAACCAGAATGGTGTAGTGGTTAAAGCACCAGGCGACGGACTGGGTGACCATCAATTCTAGTCCTGTCTTAAGAATGAAGCCAACTGGGTGACATTGGGCCAGTCACTCTCTACCAGCAGTAAAAAGCAGGCAATGCCAAATACTTCTTGAAATGAAATATTGCCAAGAAATTTCAGAGACTTGTCCAAGCAATTGCCAGGAGTCAACACCAACTTGAAGGGTCATTATCATCGAGTATATAAAGAAGCACCCCAACAAATGCACTTAATATTTTTTTTTCTATCCAGAAATGTTAATGTTCTTTGGAAAACGAAAGGCACAGCAGCACTATGAAACAAATATCACTCTGCCCACAGATTTGAAAGATGTGACTTCTAATTTCAGACTCTCCAAAAAATTTACACTTATCAATGACTCAAGGACATACATTCTGACAAAATCAATCTGTTGCCATACTCCACAGTTACAGTTACATGTAAAAAGGTAGGTAAATTATTGGCATAGGTGCAGGAAATCACACTGCATCACTCATGTAGTGGAGAGAAAAAATTAGCTGTTTGCTCCATCTACTGGCCATACATACAGAGGCAAGACAGAGATTTCAATTCTTGCCATTGGAATTCAACTATCATAGATATGGAAAGGATCATCAAGTCCACACACTTCTGCTTGTTGGAGGTATCCAGTTAAAGCTGTTTCTTGACTAATGGATTGCCCAACCTTGTCCAACGACAAGGTTATTTCCTAACACCTGAAGCTGTCTTCCTATAATTTAATGTTATGATTTCATGAACTAACTGAGAGTAACGGGACGTGCAATTCTATGTAACCCTCCTGGGGTACTAGAAAAGTGTGATCAAGTCTTTCGAATATGCCAAGGCAGTTTCTTCCATCTCTCTTGAAAGTAAATTCATTTTAAAATTTTTGATCATGCTCATTTGTTGTTCTCTGAACTAAGCTCGAGGGGCAATAAATAACATTTTGCTTTCAGTTGAGGAGACTTTTATTCAGTATTAAACTGAGAAGTTCTTGGTGCTCCTTAAACTTGATTGTATTAGCCAATTAGGTAACATCATTAGTGCAAGAGCTTTGAGGACACCTAAAATCCCACAACACAATGCGTTATTTAAAAAAAAGATATTCTGGCTTGCCTGTCCTGAATGCAGTTGTCTTATTAATTTTTGTCCATTCTGTGAAGACAATAAAAATGAATTATTTAACATTCTGTTCCCTTTAACCCTAACCCTGCTACAGATTTTGTGCCTCTCCCACTTAATAACGGTAGCAAAGCTGCCATTGGT